TGAGTATTGTTCTAATTTTTTTTTTCTTTCATTCGCTTCGGCTGGAGTAATATCATTTCGGTATTTTTGTTCAACGCAGTTGGTTTTATCATCGAATTGCATTGCATATGGTTGTTGGATGAAGGTGTGACGGGGGAAGTAACGGATTATTGTTGCGTTACATAAACACTCTTAATATCGTTTTTTTTTTCTTCCTATATTGAATAATTAATGTATATTCATTTGACTTTCAGAACTCGACGTCCCCTACATTTCCGTGCACACATTCATCGGTGTTGCATTAGACACCAATACTCTCCCGAATTCGACTAATTTCGAAACACAAATTATTATTGAACCGAAAAAGACGAAAAAAAAACGAATAACAAAACGGCCATTGGTTGAAATAGCATTCCATTTCCGCAGCTGTATTAAAAACCATGTTAAATAATTACACCACATTGCGTTCAACAATGGCTGGAATTGAACCAATCACACACACACACACACACACACACACACACACACAATGTAAATTGTGTTTGATTATGGTTTGTTACTCGGAATTGTTCATCCATTTCAATAATCGAGGTGAACAAATAAATAAAAATTAATACCTAATTCCGAAACGGTGTTGGTCGCCAAATTTCCAGGCTCTTCAAACGATTGCTGCTATCGTCGTTTCACGTCTTAACACACTTTGTTTTCTCTGTTCGATCATCCAATGTGCCATTTGCATTAAATACCATTTAATAAATGAACATTTTATTAAAACCCGTATCGTTTCGCTCGTTTTCAAAACTGTCAACAACCAGCCCAGAAAGTGTAATCAACTCCAAAATAAATATTAAAAGGCAAACGAATATATTTTTTTTTAATTGTGAACCGTGTTAATCGAACTGACGCGATTGTCTGTATGATGCATTTTAAATCAGCATTATGCCATTTCTTTTTAGCGAAAATCGTTTAACTCGCCTTTATTTTGACTTTTCATATCTCATTCGTGGTTTGTCTCTCAGTTCTTTTCATTCTTGGGCTGTTATTGTCACAGCCATGGCATATAATCCTCGTTTACGGCTTTTATTTGATTTGAATTATAGTCGTGTTCGGCTATGCTTTTATTGAAATATCTCACCGGCCAAATGCATTTGGTTGTGGTCGTTGCTGTTGTTCTTGTTGTTATTGCTTTTAATCAGTTCAGAAATATATTTAAAATATATTGGCTAATTAAATTGCACTTAAATTTAGGCAATAATCTGCTCGACTTTTCTCTCTTCTCCTTCTTCTTCTTCTTCTTTAAATACGTATTAAGGAGCGTAAACATTTAACGATATTAAGGTCGTTCAAATATCTCTTTCACTCGCCGAAAATTGATTCGCGTATGATAGGCTCGTCATTTTTTTTTTATTGTTACTGTTCTTTTTCTGTCGATGCATTTGCAATCTCTTTCTGTATTTTTGGGCCATTGGATGGAAAAGTTGGCAGAAAAGTAAGTTTAAGTAAAAAATCACGTTTTCAATTTAACTTATATTTTTCACGTTCATTTTTTCATTAATTTTTATGTTTGGTTTATATTTGTCTTTGCACGCGAAGGTGCATGCGGCGTCGGAAATTTAAATGAATGCGCCTAAGCAAAGGTAAGGAAATTGTCTGAGTCGCGCGCGATGGTGAAAACAAATTGCACAACGACAGCCACTAACTACAGTTGGAAACGTCAAATGAGTGTCAGAATTTCATGCAGACCCACTTTAAACATATGTTGGTGTTCATGTTGCTTCGAAATGAATCACTTTTCACTATCTCTCTCTCTCTCTCTCTCTCTCTCTCGACGAGAAGAAGATGAAGAACTCTGGCACTCCACCAAATGGTAAAATATCCATAGCGTCGTATCAAGACGGAAAACAAATGAAAAAAGCAAAAGACCGACCGAACGGAACATTTTATTAATTTGCGAGAAACCAAATAGACCGATAACATCGACATAAAAAAGTGCGCTTATGTCGCCCAAGCTCAATAAGCGCACATATCGTCAAGGAGCGAACGAGACTGTAAACACATACTCACTCACACTCTCTCACACACACACACACAAACACGCATACGCGTCCAACGAAAATGAATGAATAATATAAATGTTTTAACATAAGCAATAATATTCTAAAAGCTTTTAAGATAAGCACACCATCTTTTTAAAATGTTAATGAGTAAATCAAACAGATTAAAATTATAACATAGTATATTACTGGTCATTCCATACAAGCGTGCAAAACCATACCAGCTCATATCAAAGTGATTATTCCATGTATAGTCAGTCAAGACGCCTGAAACCATCGATCTTTTGGTTCAGCCAACGCTGGATTCGCCTGCGACGAGATGTACATTGTACATGCACTTTAACTAGTAGATTTTTCTAACAATGAAAGAAGAAAAAAATGCAACCAAAACAAAACAAATCCACAACAGACATTGTTGCAATGGTAATACAACCAGTTGCAATGCTCACAGCATTATGATCATTAAATTGTAAATTATGGCCAAATTATTTTATGACTGTCTTGAGAATTAATTTTCACGATTCATAAAATTGTCTCTATTCAACGGCGCGCGAGTATGTATGTGCGTAAAACATTTGACTTTTTTTATGTTTCGCACATTTCGCGCGTTTCGTTCTCGCCCGTCATATTTCGGTTGATATTGAATTCAATCGAAAAAAGAGACAGAGAAAAAGAAGGAAATAGACAGTGAAAGAGAAAGAGTGAGAGTGAGGGAAAGAATAATAAGAGCCGAATATGTCCATGAAAAAGCACCGCCAAAAGCATATTTAACGTAAATACCAATTAAAATGTCATCGAAATTGATAGCGAACTCAAAATGAATAGTCGAAGAATGTGGTTCGATGGCGAAACGTCAACCGAAATCACTTTACCTTTACAAACTGCATCGTGAGTGATATTGCTCGTCGTTTATCTTTCGCTACCAATTCATTTGGTCTGCACTCGGCTCGTTTTATTTTCGACATTGAGCATATTTTCTCTCTCTCTCTCTCACAGTCTGTCTGTCCGTCTCTTTCTTTGTTTCATCGGCCCAGTTTTGCCGTCTGGAATTTTAATTCATTTTGCTCAAGTTATTTGTTATTTATATACAAATACACACACAGACATTCAGCTTATCTTATCGTCGGTTAGCTTGCAATTACTTACCGCGTGCTGAAGTTAATGCATCCTAATATGCGCCACTTTTAATTTGACATCAAAGTTCTTACCAACTTATGGATTGTGTATTAAAATTGTGTAGGTTTTTCCCTATTGCCTGGCTTGCATAACGGTCTTAGGAATACACACACACACACACACACACATACACACATCCAGTTCTAGACAAATGATAATTTTGCATGGGCGAAGAGTAACAGTAGAAAAAAAAATCACCCATTGGTTTGAGTGGGCTAAATTGATTTTGCTTTGAATGAAATGCACTTCAATTTAAAGGCACAGAAGCGATAGTCGACCGACCTAGGTTTTATATATTCTTGGGTGGTCAATATATCGTGGTCAATTTATTACGGCGCATTTTATGCAAATTAATTGAGTCGCGCAAATGCACCTACATTCTTATCTACTTCTTCAATTTATATATGTATATATTCATGATGCATGTGCCATTTATCCATAAACTTCAGTTGAATAGTGGTTTGGTTTTGAAGTTTAGGGGAAGCCTTTTGGATTGACGGCTTTTCCGAATATACAACAATTGTCACCAAAAAAAAAAAAACGTTTCATTGTACACATTGTCCAATGAAGCAGTAAAACAAGACCGCAGAGCTTCGCTTCGCTCCGATCTGCGTTCTTGAGTTTTTAGTTACTTAATCTATTTTGTTGTTTCACAACAAACTATTTTTTGGCGCACTACATGAAATGTATTTCATCAAAGTAACTTTGAAGTAATATATTTATTTGCAAAATGAATTACAAGATCTTGGTTTTATTTCTTTTTTGAAATATACTGCCTCTGGTTATTAAATAAAAAATATGAGCATTGAATCTAAAATCACTTTAATTCTGTTCAAGACACAGAAAATATTATACGAAAAATTAATGTAATTTTTAAACAACATTTGATAATAACAATTTGATTGGCGCTTTGAGATATTATGCACCTATTTGTCGTTACTGCCACTGTTTTAAATTAAATAAAAAATATGAGCATAAAATTCAAATTCACCATAATTTGTTTCAACACTCAAAAAGTATCTAGACAAAAAAAAAAGCAGATTTGTAGCTCTACATTTCATGTAGTGCTAAAAAACACTCAGAACTCTCTTCTTTGCTAAACTGGATAACAATAACGAATTCAGAATAGATAACAGTTCGACCAGAAGAATCAATAATTTTCAATGGTGAAAATAATTATGCGACATATTCGATCAGAGATTTATTGCTCCCAGTTTAATCAAGGACGCCGAAATAAATGAGCAAATCTTTACTTGTTTTGTCGAAATTATAAAATGGTTGATAAACAGCCACAAATTCTCTGAAAATGACCAAAAAGTGAATTTATTACGTAACCGCGCGATATTTTTCGATATAAACATATTTTAATCATGGACTAATTGGTTAGCTTTTTGGAAATTGTGCACAATTCCATGTCCAATTACATATGGCTTAAGCAATGATTTGATGAAATTGTGTATGTTCGTGTTTACAAACACCCATTATGATGGTTCACATTTCAACAGTTTTCTGTGTCTAGTAAAATAATCACCAAAACCCCTAAAATGCATTCCTGGCCCGAAAAATTCAAAACACATTGAGCTTTCAAACCTGTCAACCGACAAACACGTCAAAGTGTATAAACCAAAGTTCATTCGTTGTCATGGATTGTTGATGTTGACGTTTCTAAAAGTGCGACGAAGAAAAACAACTCACAAAACACCAACTTCAAGTCATTCTCATCGGTTGCGTATGAATGCGTTCTGTTCCGTTGAATTGTGCATGTGTGTGCATCTGAAAGAAAAAAAATACCGATGGTTCAATTTAGTGAGTCTGAAGCCGTCGACATATCAATTTGTGTTCGGTTAATTTGCACATACACATTTCATTTCAATAGTTTTTTTTCTTCTTTCGTTCAGAGCATAAGTCATACGCAGTGAAGAAGTGTCCAACTCAAATTAAATCAACACAACGTATTCGAACAAGGTAAAAATTTGAGGCGTTTGTATTAAAAAAAATATAAATAGATTAATTGAATGTGTGTTGCATTAATTTGGATGGTTCCATTTTGGTCAAGAAAATCCATTATTTTTACTCTCTCGCCGACATTTGTCCCGTCGGTAAGTGCACAAGAAATTGTGTAAATTGGTCCCGTTATAATAATAAGTACGCGTACCGATTCAGCGAAGTGTACACAAGCCAAAGTAGAAATTATGAATATGACTGCGACTGAATAGCAGAGATAAGAGTGCGCCTACCAAACACCAGTGCAGTGGTATTGTGTGTCTGAGTGTGTGCGTAATCGGGTATATTGTGGCTGGCTGCCTGGCTAAACATTTGGAATTGAGTTAGTGCGACTGCGACTGCGTATGTTCTTTAGTTGCTTTGATGCGAATTCAATTCGGTGGATTTTTTTCTCTCATTTTGCTACAGATACACGAGAAAAGTGAGCAAGAATAAAATTATTACGGTGTTATTTATTATTTAGTTGAATGTTTCTGTCTCTCTATCGTTCTCGCTCGTTCTCTACCGCACAAACAGCATAATAGTTTCTATTTGTCATTTAGATTGGTTGGTGTAGTTAATGTGTGTGTGCGTGTTTTTTTTTTCGGCTATTGAATAGGCCATGTCTCATGCATCGAATTGTTTTCTTACGTTTTCTCTTTTATCTGTGTAGATTGTCATGTCGATGCAGTTTTAGCTTAATTTATGTTTGAAAATACGACACACAATCGATTCTGTACGTTTGCTGAGCTCGGTCACATCAACTTATTGAAATATTCATAATCAGCACAATTTTCTTTTTTAAATTGTTGTTGTAGTTTCTGTGTTTCTGATTTGCTCAAGACAGCCAATCAGTCAATTTGGTTGGGATTTTATTTTCTGTGACAGATTAGTAGGTGCACTAACTAATTGATTTTTAATGAAGTTTATTTGCTGACATTTGCAATTTTCTTGTTTCTTTTGTTTTTTTTCTCTCTCTCTCTCTCTCTCTCTCTCTCTCTCTCTCTCTTTCTCTCTCGTTCGGGTTGTATTTAGAGTTGTGTGCCACTATACAGCAATGGCGAAGGTAGCCGGAGAGAAGATAGTTGAAACACCAAAAGAGCACGATGAAAGTGCTACAAATGGTGATACCAGCAAATTGGAATACAGTGGTCTGAGCGAAGACACGTTGTGTACTAATGAAACACAGAATAAATCCATTGCCGACGAAATCGCACAAGATTTCAATGAAGATTTAGATGAGCACAGTGCACCCGTACCATCGGCCAAAGCAATCAAACGCGAAATCACTGGAAGTCATCCATTCAACGATGATGATTTTCCAAACAAAACATTGACCACATTGGAAACGGTCAAGAAACCGGCACAGCCAAACGATTCCGAAGAAATCGAAATTTGTCCCATCGAAACGGAAGAAGATGAATTCGAAGAGGAACCGATCTTACTCGAAGTGGTAAACGAAGATGAAGAGAATAAAGAGAGTGAAGTGGCGGTAAAACCGGTGACGTATCGGAAGCCCACACAAATCGCTGCTCTAGCAAATGATGTGCGAACAAAAATGCAAACGCCAAAAATGAACAACAAAACCGTTCAAAATGATTCGATTGTGACGCCAAACAAACCGATTCCAACACCATCTGCAGGTACCATTGAAATTCCAAGAGAATTAATAACATCAGATGCCAGTGCTATATCGCCGCTTATAATAAATCATATAAAAACTCCGTTAGCTAACAGTGATGATTTAATTGCTATTTTAGAGGGCGATGATAATGGATCGGCCAATGCATCGGTGGCACATTACGAGCTGTCGCTGTCGAGTGGAAACACGAACGGTGAACAGAAATTAGTATTGACGGCTGAAGAAGAGCGTGAAATCGCCATGGAGCAAATTATGAGTTTGCCGAAAAAGAAGAAAGGCCGTCCAAAGCTCAATCCATCGGTGAAGGCGGCACGCGAAGCACGATTGGCGAAAAAACCGAAGTGTGTGGCATTGGTCAATTCATTGGTATCCGATTGGGATGAGGGTAAGCAGGATGAAGCGACCGAAACGGAAATCGTTGTTGAAATTCGGCCGCAGAAAAAGCAAGCAATTGTTGAGCCAACCGAACCAACATTCCGACGTTCACGAATTATAAAAAAGAAAATTATCTGGGACCCAGATGCGCCCGAAACGGCCATCAATTACGCAAGCCTGGCGCACACATCCGGAGCTGGACCGGCAAAGAGACCGCGCAAGAAGAAAGACTCCGAACCATCGGAAGGGAATGAATCGCTAACTGAAGAAGTGACATTGCCTTCAGTTCCGGCACCGAAAAAGAAGAAAACCTCGGAAATTGACAAATTGCTGGGTGATGAAGGTGCGGCAAACATGTTGAACTCATTGCACCAGGGCAACAACAATAATGTCAAGGCAATCGATGGCACAAGTCCAAGCAAAATTCCACGTGCAAAAGCGATCAAAGTCGAACCGTGCAATGTACAAAGTACAACACCAGTGACAGCCAAGGCAAAGGCGACCAAGGTAAAAGAGGCCAAAGAGCCAAGTCCACAGAAACAACCACAGAATGCAAACAAAAAAAATGTTACACCAAAAAGTGGTGTTGGTGGTGCCGCTGGCAAAAAACGTGGTTCAAAAACGTCCGACTCATGGGATTACATTTATAAATCTCGTCCCGACGACTGTATGATCATTCGACGACGATCAAACAGTTCATATTCCAGCGGGGCCAGCCTGAATCGTACAAGTATTGATTTGCCAAATGCACCATATGTTGGCGATTTTGATGGCGTTGACAATGATCACGAGCCAGAAATGCCACCCAACAAACGACCGCGCTCTAACAAAGACAAGAACTTTGAGTTTGCCCGACCACGAGCCAAGAAAATTGGAAAACCCGATGCTGAACCAAAGTATCCGACCAGTTTTGATGAGGCCAAAAATTCCGGTGTCGTTGTCAATGACGTGTTCACGAACCATAAAGCAATCAAAAATGCCAAATCCGATGAAAATGTCGATTTCGCTGCGCTACCCATCAAATTGGAAAATGGCAACGACAAAGACGCATCATTCACACAGATTTCATTGTGTCGTTACGAAAATTTCACACAAATCATCCTCCAACCAGACGCAACCGATTCAAAGTCTTTGCTTACTGTACAGGTTTGTGTGAATTGTTTTGTTTTCTTTTTTCGTTTCGTTTTTCAAGGGGAAACATTTTTGAAAATAATTCCATCATTTTCTCAAAGATGTTGAAAGAAATCGAGACAGCCTTACATTCGCTGGAAAGTGATAAAACGACAAAATTGGTGTTGTTAACATCGTCCGCTGACAATTTCTGTGGTGGTGTTGACTATTCGTCTCTTGTGCAATCAACGGGTGAAAAACGACGCACTTCTGCATTGGATTTGGCAAAGAAGCTAAAGTGAGTCTGACCTTTTCAACTTATTTCATTTTCAAAATTTAATGTTCTGTTTGTTTGTTTCTTTCGGTTAAACAGTAATTTCATCCAAGTGTTGGCCGCATTCAAAAAGCCATTTATGGTTTATGTGAAGGGTCTGGTAAATGGTTTGGGTGCAAGAATATTACCACTGTTTGATGTTGTTTGGGCCGAAAGTGGCGCTTCATTCAGTGCAACAGTTCAAGATTATGGTGAGATAATCGAAGGAACCGCTTTGTTATCAGCAACCGATAAAATTGACTACAATGCCGTAAGTAACAATTTGAATGATTTTTAACAAGTATTCATTGACAATACAGATGATATAATCAATATGTTCCTCTTCCCCAAACAGAAAGCCAAGCTGTTATTTTTAAACGAAGTGATGGACGCAGAAGAGGCCAAAGATTGCAAAATCGTAACCCAGGTACTTAAAGAAGGAACAGCCGATCAACGCGTTCTGATTGAATGCGACAAATTGGCCACGAAATCGTCTTTGGTGAGTCACTACTCCATTCAAATTTTCTCTCTAAAACTCTCTCTTTTATCCATTTAAAAGAAATACACATTTGCACCTTATTCGTGATCATTCAATTTACAAATAGAAAAGTCATTGAACCGATGATAATTGTTCTACAAAAATGTTTCATCTTCTTCAACCAGGTATTGGAAACGTTCAGACTGATTCAGCAACAAAATGTGCTTCCGAAGCTGAAAGACTCGTTGAAAATCGAGCAAAAGCAATTGTTGCAACAGTGGACGAAATCGGATTTTGTGGAGAAAATCAAAGCACAACAATAGTTTATTAAATCGATACGATTTATGCGCGCGCGCGTCGGCAACAATTGCCGGCCAGCACTACAAAAACCATACATTTCTTCACATTGCATTCTTAATATATAGACAGATTTGATTTCCATCTTCTATTAATTTTTTTTTCTTCCCTCTTGAACTTGACTATCATTCATTTAACATTTTGAGCTTATCGTTTTAAGAAGAGAAAAGTTTTTTCTAAGTTACGAAGTTTATACGTATATACTAGATTATTAGAGAAAACAGAGAGATACATTTATTTTAGTTGAAACAGAAGAAAGTTGAAGAAAACTACGTATAGGTAGTAGATATGTTGAAGTGGCCTTAAGTTTATTTAGTGTTCAACGTTCGACTGGAGCGTTGTCAAAATAACGATGAAATAAGAGACAGAAATATTCACAATGAACGAACTCAACCATTTTGTTATGGCGTAATTGATTTATGTCTTCACATTTAAACAGAAACAAGTGTCAAATTAATAATGTTAAATGAATTGAATTCGAAGCTCGATGTTAGCTATTGAAACGTAATATTAGAATCGCATTCACACCGTTCAGGGATTGACAAATTCACACAAGAAAAAAACAACAACAACAGCAACATCCTATTGAAACCAATTTAATTTTAATTGCAATTCGTTAATGATCAGAGGATAAATTCGACACAAACCCATTTTGAGACGAAAAGAAAACCCTACAAAATTGAATCCAAAACAAAACACAAATACAACAAACGAAAATGTTATTCATTTTCCAAGTGCAAAGAATACTAGATAGGAATGATTTTCAAAATCGTACAAATTTTGTTCTCTTTAATTCTTCCTTTGGTTTAACATAAAATTGCTTCCATTCAAAATCACATTTAATTCGAATGACACAGATAAAAAAATGAAAATTGTGTTTTATTCCTCACTTTACAATGGGTAAACATGTTATTTTGTTACACATTATTCGTGGCACATTTTTATATGGATCGGATCTCATTCATTCGAGCCGATTAAATTCGAAAAGCAAGAAAAAAACAATAAAATCAAATTAAAATCATTAAAACGAAGTAAATGTCATTTAATTCATTTGAAAGAAAAATAAATTAGATTTTATTCGCCAGGCGTTCCAATTCATTGAGCAGCATTTCGGGGATGTATTTCTCCAACACCTCTCGCGTAATTTGAGCACATTCAGCGAATTTGAATAGAAAATGCAACGCGATGTAGGCTTCGGCTCCAATTTCTTTCTTCAATCTGAAATAATATACGGAAAAAAAGCAATTGTCAACGTCGATGCAACGAAATAAAACCAGTTTAGCAATTTTTAATCTTACGGTAAATTGTAATCGGCCATTGAAACCACATATTGAGCCATTTCATCGATGAAAATGTCTATGAGTTCGACGTGATATTGTCTCAACACCGTAATAACACCGACAACAAATGAAATACCATCGATATGCTCGGCTAATTTCTTTCCAACCAAAGTCGAGATATTTTTCACATAGTTCAATTTCGACAGTTGTGAAATGCTCAGCAGCACCATTGCGGTGGCCATATTCCGGAAATGTTTCGTTTCGATGTACACCTTTTCGTAGGGATTGTAAATGCCAGCCCATTCGAGATACATGTTCAGCTTCCACAAGAGTTCAACGCTCGGACACGGCTTTTGCGCATCCAATTCGTGCGATTTTAGCTCAACCAACAAAGCACTGACGAGAAATAGTCAAGAGTCATCAATAAAAGTTCGATTATCGTAAATTGTTTTAAAAACAAAAATGTTTCATCAAATATACAAACGACGAAAAAAAGGGTAAAACTCAAGAAACTCACTCGTTCATGGTTCGTAGGGCTGATTCCAGGTTCTTCGATTTAAATTTACAGCTGGAATTCAACTCAAATGCGATGTATTTGCGAATGATTTGCTTTTGACCGATCGCTAGTACCAAATCAAGGATTTTTGGCGTGGCTTTCAGAAACTTTGACACGTGATTGTTGTAAAATTTCATCGGTTGAGGCACAGTTGAAGTGGACGTGGACGCTTCATTGTTAACCGAATTGATAATATCAGCCATTGCCTTATCATTCAAAATACCGTGTTGCAATGTGTTTAGAAGTGACTCTAGATCCGACTTTATCATATGCGAGTAGAGCTTGTCTAACCCAACCAAACCAGCTGGTTCGACGCTTTCGATTATTTTTGTCATCACATTCATGTGCAACAGTTTCTTGTGTGATTTGAAGTCATACCACGATGACACTCCGTCGATATAGACCGTGGTTCTATTTGGAAGTGAAAAAGAAGAGAAACCATTTTAGTAAGTAAACATGATACTTGATAGGAAGAATGGAAGATTATTCGAAAAATAAAAAGTTTAGATTGAAAAAATGAATTTCGAAGAAAAAAGCGTCTTACTTCGGATCTGTGTGCCGTAAAATTTCGGCAGCCAATCGGCCGATAAAGTTCACCGAAACTGTATCAGTTGGCGGAAATATGGGTATTGGAATATTTGTGCTCTGGTATTCTGACTGCCACTCTAACACTTTCTTCCTCAAAAATGTATTGCATTCCTTTTCGACGTTGTAGTTTATGATGCGAAACATCTGTAATCCGAAACAAGAAGGAAAAGATGAATGAAAAATTCCATTGTTGTGTATTCAAAGCAATATACAAACCTCTTCTTGCCAAATTTTAAAGCCATAAATATTCAAATAATCCTGTACATATTCGAATGAACGTTTGTAACCGTCGATAATTTTGGCTAAATTCGTTAATTTATCCACTAAATCCTTCTCAGGCGTCTTTGATTTCGCATTAAAAGTCAGCCCATTGTGAAGTGATTCGGCCAGATGTTTGACCAATTCTTTGCGAATGCCATCTTCGAGCAATTGCTTTGGATCTAATTCTATGACCCCAACGAGAGTTTTCTTCATTTGCAGAATACCCTCGGTAAACACGGATATTTCGTACGTATTCTTGGCCACTGCAAACCGTTCATCCAACTGTGCATACTCGCGCACCTTATCTTTATCGAGGCGTGTTGGTACCTCTTTCATCGTTTCCGTTTGAATGTTGATAATTTTCGCCAGAATTTCAAACATTGTCTTTGGAATGATTTGTATGACTTTGCGTACATAATTGACAAGTTCATTGCTATAATATTGTGATACCGATTCCAAATCGTCGCTACGCGCTTGATTGATGCGCAACAGTGGAATTTCCAAGGCACTAGCTAATTTCAAAAATGTTGCACGCAATTTTATCACCAAACTCGGTTGCTTTTTCACACTTTCCTGCATGATCACCGTGTATTTGTCGATCGTAATCCAAGCATAGCTCAGATCGCCGATAATTTGTAAATTTATCAAATTCTCCTCTTTGATATTGATCGTTTGAATCATTTGATGAAGATATTGGTCCGTTTCAATGAGATGCTGTTTCACTTGCATATTCGAATTGAGATTATGGTATTCCTGTACGCGTTCCAGTGCCTGAATCAATTGGATAATCTTGCGGCCGGATACGTTGGCATTTTCATGGGATAATTCGCTCACTTCTTTGGCAATGTCGGCAAACCATTTTTTTAAATCGTCATTTTTCTTGATTTTCATCAGAGAATTCGATGCGGAAAACACTTCACTCAATTCGGCCAATCGCTCGTGCGCCTCTTTTCGACACGCATCCCATTGTGATTCCTTTTCCGTTAGAACATCTTTGATTATTTCACGCACCTTAAACTCCAACTGACTGACATTCAGCAGTAGCTCAAATAATTCAATCGATTTGTATGCCGAGTCGTTGATCACTTGACTTTCATATTGCTTACACTTTTTATTCTGGCTGCAATCATACGTGGATTTACTTGTGTGCAACATCATCCATCGCATCGTTACATTGCATTCACGGATCAAATTCACAATTTTCGTGATGTTTTTGATGAGCATTTGCTGTGTGACAATGCCTTCTTTCAACAGTGTCCGCGTTTTCTGAATCAATTTTTCCCGCTGCATCGAATGTTTTACGGCAATTTCTTTGATATGTTTCGTATCGATGACATTTAATAGAGCACCTTTGGCCGCTTTGTACGGTTCCCAAGCGTCGATTAAATTCACAGTGATTCCCATGTAAATGGAAACGATCCAATTGTCCGAGAAGAATTTGTCGACAATTTCACGCATTTGCGATTGCTGTTGGTGGAGCGTGCGTGGCGAAAAATATAGGCAAACATACAACATGACCGCTTGATTTGCTAACGCAGTCGATCGATGCTCTGGCAGTGGATAGACCGAAATTTGATTGTAAATATCGTCCGATCGAAGCCGCCCAATTATCATTTCGATGAAGATTTCATCCAATTCAACGCGCCTGTAGAATTTCAATCAGGTATTAGGTAAATGCGATTGAACTGACTATGCAAACATAGGAGACCAATCTGAAACACTCTTCTCTTACCTAAAATACTCTTCTGGATAGTTTGAAACTCGCTTTGCATCCGGCGCATTACTGAAGCCGGTCGAACGCAACAGCATACAAATGTCTTCAATATTGCTGTCACTGTTGATTTTGCCGGTGCCATACCGATGGTATGACACAAGGATTCGTTCACGCACTATGCCCGGAATATGCATATCGAGAATCAACAGCATGGCACCATACAAATAAAGGGCTTCCGTCTGAAATGGGCGTATATATCAAATTTCAATTAGTGAAATCGACGGTTTTTTCTTCATCGTTAATCTGATGTCAAAAATATGTTCAGAGTTTCCATTCACAACGTACCAGTAACTGTTTCCCTTCACCATCTTGCAGTATCGATTCCAAGCTCTGCTGAATGTACATGCCTTCATTGACTTCATGTATGTAAAACTTCAAATCGCCCACATATTGATGGACACTCTCAAACGCCAAATAGCATCGAGTCAAAATTTCCAAGTAGTTTTCACGTACTTCCTCATCAAGATCTTGTAACTCCTGATGGAAAATCAATATTAGATGTTTAGTGATTCTGTATTTTAAGCTAAACAAATCCAGTTTTTTGCTCTTCAATCATGTTTTGTTCATCAACTCACAGAACTCTCTTCGATTCTCTTCTCCTGTGCTTCGGATATTTTGAAGTAGCTAAAGTCCAAGATGATTTCGGCATATTTCACTTGGTCTTGCTTCTTCTCAAACCTATTTTTGCATTCGAAAAATGTGAAATTTGCACATATTTTCAATAAAAAAAAAAACTATTCCATTCAACCGATCAACATACCTATACAACTCTGGAATGTAATCTTTGACTCGTAAAATTTCGGCAATGATTGCATTGCCGCATGCAACAATTTGTAATAAATTTTGACCACATACATTATCTTCCGCTAAAAACTCGGTCATTTTTATTTATATTTGAATGGAATGAAAATCACGTTACGAATTTGTATTGCATTGAATAAATTAACAACTAGTAAACTATTAATGATGGACAGATCAAAACAAAAGAGAGAAGTAGAAAAAAGCATACCAGTGAATGTTTTGACACTGCGTTTCGATTTGACGTTTCAGTTGTCAAAATATCAACAGATGAATCTTATCGGTCGTTTGACATTGCGTGTAAATAGTTGCATGGATCAACAATGTCAAGTCCATATAAATATTTGAAAATTGAAAATTTGGGTAAACTTCGAAAGATTACCATAAGCAATCCCAAACTCAAAAATGCATTGAATTTGCAAGCATATGAAGAATTGACGGGTAAAGCGAGGCATTTTTGAATTGTTGATCTTTGGACTGAGTCGTTGTTTTCTTCTTCTTCTTCTTTATTTTAGATGGTCTAAACAGAGCTGCCACAGATGACTCTGTGTCGATAGTGGCAATAACAGGTGATGGGGACTATTACAGCTCAGGAAATGATATTAAACACTTTTTAACTGTAATCGATCCAGAAAAGGAGCTAATAAGGGCGAATATTGTCTTAAAATCGATGATTCAAAGCTTCTACACATTCCCAAAATTGTTGGTTTGCGTTGTGAATGGGCCATGCATTGGCATTGCATGTTCAACAGCTGCTCTTTGTGATGTAATCTATGCAGTGGATACAGTAAGTCTGAATCGATTTTTATTCTTTTTTTCTATTGTTTCTTCTTTTATTAAAATATTCTTGTCGGTTTCAGGCCTATTTCTACACTCCCTTCTCGCTACTTGGACTATGTGCTGAGGGATGCGCTTCGTACACATTTTCACGCATTCTCGGCAAAAGCAAAGCCAATGAGATGCTACTCTTGAACCATAAACTAACAGCAGCCGAAGCGTTGCAATTCAATTTTGTGGCAAAAGTTTACACAAAATCTGAATTGGACACAGTGCTATGGCCGAAAATCCGTGAGCAATCAGAATTGTCAAGAGAATCAATTTGTGTAACAAAGAAGTTGCAATCGAAATTCGATCAAAAAAGCTTGGAGACGGCATGCGATGCAGAGTTGAAGGAGCTGTACAAACGTTTCTCTACCGACGACTTTATACAAGCCGTTGTCAATTTTATACAACGCAAATCTAAACTCTAGCCTAGAGTCTTTAGGTGAACTTTGAACGCCCTTTTGAACCGTCTACACTCTTCTTATCATGGAGATTTTTCCCTATGAATTTCGTCCAATCATTTTTTTTTAAATCATGTGGCATTTTAAGAATAAAATATTCTGTGGTGATAGGAACAATAAAGCAAATCGATTTTATGAATTTTATTGTTTTTTTTATTTAAATTGCAGATTTCGTTCATTTACGTGGCAATGGTAATAACACTCACAATTATTTCTTATCTTAGTTTATAACCAATCGCGCCAATTCATCAATCAATCGTTATCAACACATCGTTTCGTAATCTGCTTTGCTCTTTCGGAATGAACCTGTACTAGTTAACAATTGTTAATTAATTTCTTTTTGTTGTGTTGTTGTTGCGTTAAGGAATATAGCATTTAACAGCGGTAAAAAAGGGGGATATTGGATTTGAATTTATGTTGATCACACAAGATCGGTTGGGTTCGATTTTTTTTTTTCGTTGTTATCAGACACTCGGTTTTCCTAAAGATTCCAAAAATCAATGATACAAAAAGAATATATCCTACTGAGCGGCAGCGATGCGAGCCTTTTGCTCTTCAACTGCTTTGAAGTGTTCGGCTCGGGCTTGTTGAACTTCTGGTGTGTCCTGTGGCCCATTGTTGTTGTTCAATTGAATGGCGAATGGCAATGAACGGGCGGCAATCAATTGTCGTCCGGCATAAAATGTTGGAGTGTTGAATGAGTATGAGAATGCGCCGGGCGCTGACGATGAAATGGCAAGAATTTGTGCTGGTTGTTCGTTATCTGGTTCGGCGGCTGCACGAAGCGATGCTTCATTGAATGCACGGAAATGTTCGGCCTTGGCTTGTGCAACTTCGGGTGTATCACCGATTCCATTCAACGCTGCTTTTGGCAGGTTGGTGGCAGCAGCACGGAATCCATTTACTGAATCAGCCGTGTATTCCACAGTTTGAAGACGGCCCTCAGCATCAACGTAACTATATGAACCACGGGTGACGCCATCGATGGATTTCGATTCAACTTTAGCCGATTGACCACCGTTATATCCGTATGAGTATTGGCCGAGCGTGTCTTGTGAATGATATTGGCTGATGACTGGCGATTGAGCGGTGATGATCGTTGGCGTTAGAATGGTTTGTGGTGCAGCAAACACGGCCACAAACAATGCTGACACAAAGATAAGCGTTTTCATTTTGAAATTGAGTTTTTTCGGGTTTAAAAAATATGAGTTTAATAAAATTGAACGTGAACCACGTAAATTCAAACTAAAGCGCTGCTGGTTTTTGTATGATTCAACTATCCAGTACTCGCTCTATGGCTTATCGGTTCTGATGATTCTTGGACTCGTGCATGGCTTTTTATACCATTCTTTTGTGAGTCGATTTGTCTTGGCCAATCGTCACCACCGCCGCTGCTGCCGCCGACAACGACGACGACGACAACAGCAACGGCTACGACGCTTGTCGTCGCGCCGGTCGTCTATATTTCATTACATGATGAAACACTGCAACTAATAATGGTGAAGCACACGCAGAAAATAAAGCAGAAAAGAGAAGCATATGATACATTGGCGTGCAATGATTACTGGTTTTCAGTTTCGGAGATTCACATATTCATGATGTGAATAGAGATACAGCCTATATTAAATGGGAATTGCATGTACTTGCAACGTGCCACACGAAAGCCAATCCATTGCATATCATTTGCTGGGTGCTGAAAGAACGCACATATATGTGCATCAAATATAAGCGACCTCGATCTTCTTGTTTCTGTTTCTTTCGCCTTACCACTTTATCACGTTACAATTTTTTTTTTCTTTCGACGTCGTTGCTGTGGTCTTTTATTCATTTTTTGTGTTTTTTCGGTCGACGCTTTTATGAAACGTGTGAGTGTGCACATAAATTTCCTTCTAGATTAGCTCATACTACGTTTAGTGCACCAATTGTGTGATATATATCACGAGGATCGGTGATGATGTATGCGCGTATCATTTTACAGCACGGAAGAAGATCAGCCACGGCAAGAAATAACGAGAACAACGAAGTGGTACCGCATTTACAATATATTCTTGTATACATATGTATCTATTCGATTGTTCGATTCACATTCTGCGCCTGTTGGCAAGGTCGCCAAAGATAAGAGCGCGCGACCGACCACCATACACCATTTATGGTTGATGCATTGTGCGTGATTCATTAAATCCTCCTTTTTCGAATGCACAAAGAATGTGAAATAACGAAACACAGATGATCGCATTCACTGACAAAAGAAGATCCATCACAGTCATGCGCCATTAAATGACGGCTGTAATGGGTGTGCGCTATACACAAAGGATACATTGCCGGTATATTGTAGTTCGTCGCTAACAATAAGATCGCTTGGCATCGACAGACACTCGAACTAGTATCTCATTTGCTCTGATTTTTAATTTTTTTATTTTAAATGTACGATGAAACGGATTGTGTATATAGATGTGTGGCATTTTATAAATGGAGCTCCATCTTAAAGAAGCAACACTAATAAATTGACCTTCAATACTTTCGATACTTGCATGGCTTTAACTTTGATTTCAATTATTTGTCTCAAACATCGGCATCATTAATTCTATGCATCTACCATTTTTAACAACGGAGTGTTACTCTACTGCCGTTATTGGCGTTGGTTGTCAGTGTCGACGTCGTCGCCGTTGCTTCTCGACCAAAATCCGACGTAAAACATATAGATCAACAACAAAATATCAAATTTGTTGAAACTATTATAATTGAGTGCATGCAAATTATTCGGTTGATAAACATGCTACTACTACTACTACTGCTGCTGCTGCTGCTGCTGATCACATTCTGTTCCGAGTTACAAATTCTACTTCATAACACTGCATAATGCGTCTTCAATTACAAAACGCCGAAACCATAGAAAAAATCACTTTCGCTTAAATCGGATAAATTAGATGTCTTGGGAATTATTATTATTATCAAATTACAAAATCAAAAGCCAAATCGAGTCGCCGAGTTACGTCGTGTAAAATTATGTGGAACACTTAACCAAAGCCGTGTAACGACAACGTGTGTGGATGATTGTCTTTTATTTGTCTCTTTGTTTCATTGCGGTTTGTCAATTGCATCGATCAAAAAGGTGCTAATTTAAATTGGTCTATAATTTTTTTTATTTTGTTGGTTTTTGGTTGGAACGAAAAAAAAAGAATTAAGAAATTTGGTCTGGTACCACATTGACAAGGATCTAGACAGTGCAGCTGCTACACTTCCCAAGACATACATACCATCAATTACACTCACGTTTTTTTCTCTCTTCCAAACCGAAGATCGAGTGTCATTTACTTACCATTTGCCTGTGTGTGTGAATAATCGATTTCATCATTTTGCAAATTAAGTGGTTTCCGAAAGAACGAAACGAAACGAAAATGATTAAGAACATAACAAGAGTTAATTAAATGTTTTTTAGCAATGCTGACAACATCCCACTGCTAGAACCGGTCGTACGAAGCAGCAACTGAAATTGAATTGTATTGAATGGGACAAAACGATCGATCGGTGGATGGATGGATTCGATTACTTTCTAAACGCATCTTAAAAATACAATTAAATGTTGTCGCATTGTCATACGACCTGTCTGCACATAATTAAGATCATGAACAATATATTCTACAATGACCATAAATGGATATGCTGAAGCGCTGTACATTACTTTCGGACATTGTTCGTCGATCGATACGTTTATTGACGTCTGCAATTCGATTATGCATTTTTCGCTCTTTCTCTTCTCCTTGTTAAAGGTCGTCGTCTCATTAGCGAAAGTATCATTCAATATATAAACATAGTAGCCATGGCAACCAAAAATTGCCGCGCTTTTCATGGGTTTCATGTATAATTCAAACAAATTGATTACTTAATCCATTTACCGGATATCATTTTAATTGGAATAGATATGACAGAATTGAGTTGCATTGAAACAAATGTTTACAAAATATTCAGTACGAATCTTATGGCGATTTCGATTGAAATTGAGATTGTTGCACTTGTTTGATACCTTGTCGATACTCCCAAAACGAAATGAATCCATCATTATCCGTGTCCATAAGTTTTAAATTATAATCAACATATTGCACCAGTTCATCGTCCGTGTAAACTTTACTATTATCCAAATATCTGGTGACATTTGCCGTTTGTTCTAATATCAAATAAAATATATACAAAATAGCTCTTGATCTAACTAGTACAAAGTGTAATCAACGGACAAATTTGCAACCAATACAATGACAACTATGTGCAAATTACCTCACATAATTTGGCCGTTTTTTTTCCTTTTCTACATTGTACAATTTTGAGTTTGAAACAGTTTGCATATGATGTCGAGTGCTTATACAAAATGGAATAAATGCTTGTGATTTTTTGTTGTTGTAAAATAATACGAATAAAAATATTTTATTTGAATTGAAATGCTACAAATTACAACGAATTCGAAATCTAAAATTGAACCGGACAAAATTTTATGGTAACGTCGTTATGTGTCTGTGTGTCTTTTCTGGCGTGTCTGCACAATCGAAAGTGTATGTGTGTTTTTGTGTGTGGATTTTTTTAATTCTTGGATCTGTGTCATTGGTTATATTGCGGTGGTGGTCCCGGAAGATACTTATTGTTGATCAGCATTATGTTTCATGTCTTGCTGTGTTTTCACAAATTCCGGAAATGAAACATAGCCATCGTAGTCAGAGTCCATAATTTTAAGTGATTGGTCGATGATTTCGCTTAATTTCTCATCCGTATAGGTGTCTGAACCATCTGCATCAACCGGTTTATTGTCTTTTTCTGGAATTGGTTCAGGTACGCATATGCATGCATTCATTTAAATTTGATTTTGGAAATTTTTCAACTGTGTTTGTGCTTTTTTTGTGGAGGTATTTCATTTCTTAATTTACGATTCCATTCTAAATGTTTGCTGTTTTGGTTCAAAATGGGTTAGTCAGAGAAAAGGTGAAGTTAATTTCTTAGATATAGCAAGAGAATACGGACTTTCTTTGGAACGTAACAGAAGCACATCCTACTTCTAACCCGTAAAATTAACTATATACAAACTGATCGGATTTCAAGAAAATTAGAATATATACAACTCCCCTTGTTACTTAATTTTAGATCGGTAATAAACATCATCGTGAATGACTGTGAAAAATAAATTGTGATTTGAAATTTTTGCATTACCTTTGAAACCAATCCAAAACCAAGTAAAATTGTTATTGTTTAGAAAAGAATTTTGATTTATTCCCAATTTAAATTTATTCACCCGAAATGACATGCGCCAATGCATCATTCGTCATTGCATGCATTACTTCTATGTTACCCAAAATGTGTGTGTGTGTGTTCAAAAACCAAATGAGTTGAATAAATTACGTTATCGAATGAGAAATAATCTCAAGGAAGAGATTATGAAATGGTATTATTTCATCCGTTATGGAATTTCGTCATTTTAAGCTAAAATTCTGGATGGTTTTTTTTTTCTTCTTTTGCGCGCAATTCAAATCAGTGTGGAACATTGTGGTGGTCGACTTCATGAGTTTCGTATTCTTTCACATGGTGTTGCACCTCCTTATCGCCAAGTGAGTAAACATATTCATCCCATGATATGTAACCGTCCCAATCGTAATCGGCCTTAGTCAATGCTTTGTCAACCGAATCCGCTAGCATTTCATCGGTCAAATGCTGTGCCTGTGCTTCACTTCCTTCATTTGCTATAAAGTTGGAGATTGCGTTAATTTCGTTCGAAATCCAGTTGACACACAACATTGATTGTCCACGTACGGTTTTAATAACACATAATCGGCGGATTGTTTTATTTTGGAATTTGTTTTGTTGCCGCATTGGCAAAAATCCATTGCATTTGTATTAGCAGTAATTCAAGTGGTTTTAAAAACCAACGAAAAAAGTTTTATTTACAACAACAAGAAAAAAAATTATTACCTAGTTTAAGCATTTAAAATTATCCTGAAAATGTTATGACTCAACCAAAAAAAAAAAACAGAAAACATAAACCGGAACAAAAATGTTTGTTAACAACAACATAAAAACATGTAAAGTGAACAGAATATTTTCAGCGGTGAGTGTGATGACTTTTATACGCTATTCTTGTATTCGGTGTATTCGATGAAACCGTCACTGTTCAAGTCCATGGTTTTCAATAATTCATCGATTGTCTCCTCCAATTGATCGTCGGTGTAGGTATGTTGTCCATCTTTCGGTAGCTCTTCATCTTCGTCTGCATTTAATTGATTATTGATTCATTTTCGAAATAGCAGCCCCAAATGATTTTTGTTTTCATACGAAACATAGGAAATGATAATAATTGATTAGTTGCATTGCATCTGATGTTATTTGCCTTTTGGACGGGGACAATACATACGGCGAACGATCTTAAAACTTGTCGGACAAAAACAATACGCAAATAATAATAAAAATTTGAGCAACATCACGGCGTGACAAATGAAAATCGAATAGTTCCTATCCAATCGCACCCTTGGATGCGCATATTCAGACAAAAAAAAACTTGAATTTTTATTCGATTCTTCTCTTCAACACAAAATAAATTACAAAAAGATGAAGTAAAAATAGATTCGTTTTTTTTTCGTTTTTCAACAGAAAATTCGTTTGCGATTGCAGTTTGTGATTCACACGACTTATTTTTTTTTGTAAATTTCAGCTGATTTTAATCGCTATTGAATCAATGTTTTTTTTCCGGAGCGTGTTTTGAGCTGACGTTAGCAGCACTAACTAACGTCAGCTGCTGATATCAGCTGCTGACGAGTATGCGTTGCGTTGTTTTAACGCATTTGCAGTATAAAAACGAAGAGGCAAGCAAACATCTCATTGGTATGTTTGGAGAATACCTCGTTTTTATACTGAAAAGCAGCTGATATCAGCAGCTGACTTTATTTAGTACTGCTAACGTCAGCTCAAAACACGCTCTGTTTTTTTTTTCTTTTAAAAAGACTTACGTAAATTGAAATTCGTTTCATTTGATTTAAGTTGGAATGGAATTCGATGCGTTTGCAAAAATTAATTTTAGAAATGTGTCGCTTTGCCCTAAGGAGTTACTCCTTTCCGCTTGTTCTGCGAAAAGTGCTAATTTGTCGCATATCTGTTTTGTGATGTTAACATACATATGATTGGGCGAGATAAAAACATAAATCACAGCTTCAATTCACAATAACACAAAACCCGGTTCTTTGTTGTTGTTCATTAAATGTCTTTTTTTTTGTTCCTTGGTAAAGTGTACTTTCAATTCAACCAATGTGACCAATCAATCACGTTCTTTTTTTAGTCAACTCTTTTTCCTTTCCCTCATATAAACTCGCTCGAAAAAGACAATATACAATTATTGCGATCAAACAAAAACGCGACGATCACTCAAAAATTGTTGATAACAAAAAACACAGAATTTAACATGAATTGATACAGATATTTTGAGTTCGAATGTGAGTGTGTGTGTGTGTATGTATGTGTGAGTGACTTTTTGTTTGTGATGTGGCAAATGTTTATCTATGTTGCGGTTGCTGTTGATGATGCTGCTGTTGTTGAGCGGCTGCCTTTTGTTGTGCCCTGATAAATTCTGGATAATCAATGTAACCATCGTTACTTGTGTCGTCCATTTTCAAAATTGGATCTATCAATTGTACGAGCTCTTCATCGGTGAAGACTTTTTCTTCGACTTGTGGCATTTGCTGGGAATTTTCCTTGCTTCCTTGCTCTGTTCCCAGTCGACGACCGACGAGCACCAGAAATGCATTTGTAATTTCATTTTTTTTCATGAAGCGTGATCGCGTTTTTTCGGTTTTCATCAACAGTCATTGTGAGCATACAATGTAATTTGTGTGTAAAACAAGCACAAAATGAGTTCGATGATCCACATTTGCACGTGAAATGGGAACGAATATTTTTTTGCCATATTTTTTTTTTACAACAGATGAATAAATTGGTTTGTTTTGGGAGTTTTTTTTTTGGTTCGATAATTTTTATGCATGGTGGTGAAAATTGATGGGCGATGTTTTTTCGAACATGAAATGGAAAACAAACAGAGAGAGAAAGAAAAATTACGTTTAGATCTAGTATTAACCGACCATTGCCAACTGTTTAAATATCTAGAGAATATAACCAAAAAAGATATAATGTTCAACCAGCGAACGGTACATTCTCTCAAATTCAATTTAACCAATTTTTTTTCGAAATTGATGCATACTTTTCACACATTTTTTTTTCAATTACACTAATTACAAATTGTTCACCGATAAGAAACAGAAAAAAAAAACATTTCGATCCCCATTAAAATCCCACATGCCGATTTTCAACAATTTATGTACAGCAAGCAAAATATCTTTTAATTGTATCGAATTCCAAACAATCTTTTTTGTTTATCTACAATAAATACCCATACTGTATCTCATTTCCACGTATGTGGGTACGGGAATCATGTACAAAAATTGTTTGCAATTCAAAAAAAAAAGTTTTGGAAGCAAAACAAAGCAACAGAGAAAAATAAAAAGAACATCTACAAAAAACATATCCGGTTAAGCCATAGTAGCAAAACACTTACCGTGCCAGTGGATGAGTGATTTGATCAATTCGCTGCCATCTAATTTGTTGTTCTTGTCAGAGTCGTGCATGGTGAAGTAATGGAATTGTAATTCTTGTTCAGACATTTTGCTTGTGTCGATTGGCACTTCCATGTGCTCTTGAATGTGTCTGCAGAAAGAATAAAACGAGATTTTTGTTTATAAGAAATATGCCTAGAGTTTTCAGTTCATCATTTGACTTACTCCTTCTCCTCATTGACGTTACCGGACAGCACACCACCTGTAAATCAGAGAAAAAATTGATCAAAAACTTTTAAAGCATATCCAACATCAAGTATGATGTGTACTAACCATTAGCGCCACCATGAGCATGGCCATGTCCGTGACCATCTGGCACTTGTTGCGGCGGTGGTTGCTGGAATTGCTGTTGTTGTTGTTGTTGTGGCGGTGGCTGTTGAAATTGTTGTTGTGGCGGTGGCTGTTGAAATTGTTGCTGTTGTGGCACTTGCTGTTGATACTGTTGTTGCTGTTGCGGTACACCTTGCTGTTGGTATTGTTGATATTGAGCTTGTTGCTGTTGATATTGAGGTGGCGCTTGGTGGTATTGCACATTTTGTTGCTGCGGAGGAATAAATTTTTTTTTTTAAATTAAATTAACATTTTGTGAAAATGTCGAAATAAACGGTTAAACATATTGGGTAGAACATTGGAACATAGTGTATTTTACTAACATATTGCGAAGGTGGAACGCCGGGTGCAACACGTTGCGCTAATGACAGGCCTATTACTTCAAATAAAGCGATGCTGATAAACAGCAACTTCGTATGATGTCTCATTGAAGTCAACATTTCTGGAACAAAAGAATAAAATGGTTGAATCAGTGGATTTTGTTTTTGTAACAACACTTTCACTTTTTTTTTTGGACACAAACCAGAATCAATGTCAACATTTTTGGTTACAAATATGAATGCAAAACATGGCACACATTAATTTTGGTTTAATTTAAATTTGGTTGAAAGTTTTGTTCCAATTTTATTCGGTTCAATTGGATCATTTCAAGAGAAAATCATTTACGTTTTGTATTTACCTTTAAAATTAATTTGGTTTACGTTATAAACTAAAAATTAAAAAAAAATAAATTCTATGACTATGTGACGTGACGATATACACATTAACAGACGGGCAAATAACTATTATCAAGTCTTTAGTTTTAGTTATGTTTCTCTTTTAAATCAAAAGTATTTCGAATTTCAACACACAAATCATTATCACATTAGACACATACTCGAAACAGCTTTTTTTTTTACTTCACCTACTTCGAATCATCCACGTCAGGTAGTCTTGTTGAACTCGATATACCAATAAGTGTACACGGACTTTCTCTGTAAATCAATAACAACATGAAGTTGGCTCCGGTAAAGCGCACTGATTTCAAATCAATACCCACCGACTGACTCTTGGTTGATTTGTGGACCTGAACATGAGCGTGTTATCAGTGAATTTGAAGTTTATCTCAAATTTCATGGCTGATAATTTTAAAAAGTGGAAATTTTATTCATTTTTTTCAACATTTCATTGATAAATCGAAATATCTTGGCATCGGTCAACCCTAACCAAGGTTCATCTACATTGTTTGTTTTTTTGATTTTTGAAATGTCAAAGCAAAAATTCTTTTTTAACCGGCAATAAATACTCTGCACTACATAAACAAGATTGAATAAATCGCAAGATAAGCGTCTTTTCCCAAGGAAGTTTTATATTAACTTCATCAGCACATTTCGTGTGTGGTTTGAGTGCAATGATTACTTATCGTGTAATTTAATAGATTCTTCTTGGTTACGCAAAAAATTCCATTTGAAATAGATAATTCAGACAGAGTAGAAGTGAGCAATGTATACAATCTACGATACAAGTAATCGAAAGACGAATGTCCATCATTTGTCATGGATCTGGGCCGTTTCGTTGGCTGCGATGGTATTCTTCTTGAGCTGTTTTTCCAAGCATCGGCTACTTACACTGCCGCCTGGATTGACCGTAAACGATTTGCCGCAGCACAATGAATCGTTCATTGCAGAACGGGCTTGGCATGATTTGAACATAATAACGAGCTTTGGAACTCGACCAACCGGCAGTCATGCAAATGAAATACTTGCCATCGACTTTTTCAAACGTGAACTGTCGTACATCGAACGAAACGCACACCCAAATCAAAAAATCTATTCAGACATTCAAGTGACATCGGGCTCGTATTTCATTAACTTTAAACCACATCCAATGACGAATATCTATCGTAACGTGCAGAATTTCATTGTTCGAATGGCTGGCAGCGATGAAGCCGAAAATTCACTACGTAAAAACCATGCACTAATGTTGAATTGCCATTTTGATTCAGTTGCCGGAAGGTTAGCTACATTATTCACTTTGTGTTTTGATTCAGATATTGACTTTTGCTGTTATTGTTCACAGTCCGGGTGCCAGTGACGATGCGGCCAGTTGTTGTGTCATGATGGAGATTTTGAGAGTGCTGTCACAACAAGAGAAACGGCTGAGACATACTGTCATTTTCCTTTTTAACGGCGCCGAAGAGACACCACTGCAAGCTGCACACGGATTTATTACGCAGCATCGCTGGGCCAAAGATATCAGAGGTAAACGTTTACAAAAGAGAAATTCAACCAAAGTCGTTGACAACTTTATAAACAGTTTAACAATTATTGGTTTCTTTCAGCATTTCTCAATTTGGAATCGGTTGGATCAAATGGCAAAGAGATTCTATTCCAATCTGGGCCAAACCATGGGTGGCTGATTGATGTTAGTTGATATTAACAAGGGTTTTTCAAACCAATTATCATGATAATGCATTATATACAGATAGTATATCTGTCACGTACCACAAAATTTTTTTAGATACTGGAATCAATTCAAAACCCTACTTTTCCATTTTAGATGTATAAAAATGCTGTTCCCTACCCAAATGGGCAGGTGGCAGCTGAAGAAATGTTCCAATTGGGAGTTATACCATCGGACACCGATTTCCGCATTTTCCGAGACTATGGCCATATTCCAGGTGAGATTTTTGTTTTTAAATTTTTTGTCATTGAATTCATTTTCTAAACCGATGTTTTGTCATTTTCTGATTTCAGGAATGGATTTTGCTCACGTTTTCAATGGTTATCGTTATCACACCAAATATGATCATATCGACTACTTGCCGCCAGAAGTGTTGCAACGTACCGGCGATAATATACTTTCATTAGTCAGAAGACTGGGCAATTCGGATGAGCTTACGAATACTGAGGTATGGACCATACCATATGGTACAAACATATCGATTTTCAATGAAATGCATAATTTTGGCTGTCTCTCTCTTTCTCGCAGGCATACGTCAACGGTCGAATGGTTTACTTTGATTTGCTGGGCTACACATTCATTTCGTACACCGAATCAACGGGTCAAATTTTGCATATTATTATTCCAGCCCTTTCTGTGATTCTATCCTATTACTTCTTGCATACCAAAGGCATTTCTCGTCGTTATGTTCGCAAGGAACTCCGTTTTGGTTTCTTTGTTACGATATTCTCACTGTTTCTGGGCTGTGTGGTGTGCTACTTGATTGCCACTGAATTGGATCTAAATGGAAAAACAATGTCATGGTATCATCGCACTTACTTTTCGATTGCTTTGTACTGTTTTCCATCGTTGGCAGTTACCTCATTTTTCTATGCCCAATTGGTGCGAACGCGTGATTCTCCGCTGAGTTTGGCACTTCAAGCACAAGCTCGTTTGAATGGAGTGAATTTGGTGTGGGCAGCCGGCACTATTATTTTGACGTTATTCGGATTTCGAGCCGCGTATGTGCTTATGATTCCAGTTCTTGTGACACTTATTGTTAACACAATCATTGGCTTGACGAAATCACAAAATACAAGTGCGTTTACAATTTACCTTATCCTTTAATCATTCGATTTGGTACTTGATTATATATTTTTATCGAAAAACAATTTGATTTATCTCTTCAGTCAGAAAATGGCTCTACATTCATTTGGCCGGTCAAGTACTTGTTGTACTCTGGGCAACGCATTTTTATCATGCAATCATTGCGGTTTTCATTCCAATTGCCGGTCGATCAGGTGGCTACAAAAATCCAGATATTCCAATTGGCTTTATTTCCTGCTTTTTCACTATGTTCATCGGCAGCTATTTGGTAATTAAAGGGGTTTTAGAAGACACTAACGATTTCAACGTGGATTTGGATCAAAAATTAAATTTTAAAATTGTTTTGGTTGTAAAAATGCAATGATTTCTTCTGAATAGATTCCTCTCGTTGGTTTGCTACGTAATCCGAAATCGTTCTTGGTCACCGTTGCTGGATTATTTGTACTAACCCGTTTGAGTTTCATCGGCACGCATTTTGAATTTCCATACAGTGACGATCCTGCTAATCCAACACCACAAAGACACTTTGTTACTGTATGGCCAAATGAACATATTTCAGTTTTTATTAGATTCAACAAAAAATGTGTCATTTTTTTATTTTAGCACGCTGTACGAAAAGTCTATGATTTGAATGGTCGTGTGCAGTACACAGATTCAGGATATTGGTTCCGAGAACTTGATCGAAATGCAGAGAAAACAATCGATAGTCTTGTTGCTCCGGAGACGCCTGTTCGTCAAGAGCTCATACCGATGGGTAAAGAATTGCCATTTTATGGAATACCAACATACTCCTGTCGTCAGTTACATACTGGGCAAGTTTTTTTTTTATTGCATGCATCAAATCGATATTCATATAAACAATTTTTTGATCAACAATTTGTTCAAGAGAAAAATTATGTTTTTGTCTAATTTTTTGTTTCAAATCTTCTTACCCTTTTGAATCCATTTCAGCGGTTTTTGGTTGCCAGCCCCTGCTCCAATAGTAGAAAATGAAGTTCAAGTGAATGCCACCAAACCATTGAAGGTATCTGACAATAAATGGCAACTTCGATTAACGTTCAATGGTAATAAGAAAAGTGCACGACAGTCACAGAAAAAATTGTTAATCATTTTGTTGAATTGCAGGCAGTTATTTGTATTCGTTGCAAATTCGACCAAGAAGCGGTGTCAACTTATTGAAGTGGAATTTTTTAGATTTCATACCAGAAAAGAACGAATTTAATGGGGACAAAGGTTACTTTGCGATGGTTACTCATGGTCTAGAAGCACCTCCACTTCAGCTTCATATGGAATTTGATGTAAATATTTATCACATACCTGAAATGAAGTCAATGAAAATTAGAATTATTCTTTTATACATAAATCTGTCTATTATTCGATTGTAGACAAAAATTGGTCATACTGGTCCATTGGTGGAAGTATCGGTTGTGACATTCCATTGGGAAACATCATTCAAGCCAACGCCGGTGTTTGCCAATCTGCTTGCACGATTCCCGAAATGGGCTTTCCCTGTGCCATCAATCGCATCGCTACAAGCACATGTTTATTAAATCCAGCTGCTTTCTCAATTCTCAACCGAAAAAAAACCTCTTCTGGCTTGAGCTTATACAATCTCGGGAAAGTTTGGCATTAGATGCATTTTTGATTTTTTTTTTTTAAATAACTTTTTGGTGATTTGCTTGCAATTAACTCACCACAACTCTTCTAGATTTTAATATAGAAAATCCAGGGTTTTGCCGCAATATTTTTTCGTCTCAAATTTGTTAACATTTTAGTTGAATAAAATAATTGATAAATGGTACACAAAAGTGGTTCTAATCCGAATGAATTGTTTTATTCATTTTATTTAGTTTTATTTCAAAAATAAATGGGCGAAGTTGCTACATTGGAAGAAAATTCAACGCTAGACAAGTTTTCCCAAAGAATAAAATAAAAAGTAAAATCGTGTGTTATTTTCTCAGTTCATCAGTGTTTATTTCGATTTTGTTCACAATTATTACAGATTTATTTTTCAAATAAACAAAATGAAAAAATAGAATAAAATTCATGTAAAAAAAAACTCAAACACAATTTGTGTGCATTTGTGAGGATGCATTTTAAATATAATACAAAATTTGATGATAATATGAATTGAATCATTTGCAATATGAATAAAGAAAAAAAAAAAATTATTGGTGCAGAAAAATGTGTTCAAATAAAAGAACGAGAGAAAAAATATGTATAAATATATATATGCGTGCTTTCGTTAATTTGAATCCAAAAATTTCAATTGAATTAGAAAAAAAATCAAAGCAAAATGCCAATTACAGACAAATGGATCATTTTGAATTGAAATAGGCTTTGTTGCGGTAGTAAATATGTCTAAAAAAATGTTTCGATAAATTGATTAGGCGCAGAAATTAATGCTCGTCATTTAAACATTCATAAATCTCTATCAACGATTCACCTTCGGTCCAACATGTGTACATTAAGACCGAAAAGTGAAAACTCAAACCGGTTAAAATGCCGATGAATCACGGCAGTGCGGTGTGCAAATCGAGTGCACTAAACAGTCGGATCAATTGTTCACACCACAAAAGTAAAATGGTTCAAATTGCATTGTGTCTCGTTTGTTTTTTTTTATCCAGTTAATTATTTTTTTTTACCATATCTTTATCTCTCTAACAACTAATAATATTCAATTTTTTTTTTATCGATTTCTCATCAAATATACTTTTTATTCACGGTCAATAAATTTTCATTCCAAATATTAATTATTCGACACTTTCTCTATAAATATGATGACCATCATCGTCATCGTCGTCGTCATCATCGTGGCTGCATCGTGACCACGTGTATGGAAAGAGCGATGAGACGAAACGGTCATTGTCTCTATTTGAAACAAATGAAACATTATATAATATACGAATAGTTTTGTGTGTGTGTGTTTGTGTTATCGTTGAATATCCTTTTCATGTGAATTGGATGGCGAGAGGCAAACCTCTTATTAAGTTTGATGAATTGGCAATGTGTGCTTTACTTCGACACATTTATGCAGCTGCCGTTATACTTTTTCAGGGGATTACACATGAGGGCGTTTGTTTTTTTGTTGTTGCTAAAATACCAAATTCCATCGGACTCAACAAGAACTGCGCCTCTCTTTTTCTCATTTTTTTTTCCTTCTGATAGATAGTTTACTTTTTTAAATATATATTTGGCAATTATTATAATCATTTATATCATTTATAATATCAATTCATATTGTTGTTTTTTATTCGTTTTCTATTCTGAATGCGATGCCCAAGAGCTAAATCAAATCGGGATTTTGTGGCCGTGGACGTTAGCGCATACGCATGAATCTTTGCCCCTTCAAATTCCTTAACAACTTCTTCACTCTTAATAATTCTCGATTTTTTCTCTGTCTCTGTTTGTTGTTGCTAATCGTCTTTATATTAAATGCAGGATTGGGGAATGCTTCTTTTTATGTCATTCATTCGTTTTTCTTTCATCTTTCATTAAAAACACATTTGAAAAAGTTCGATATAAAAAAGTGGATCGATAGATTATCATGTATTTCGTTGCAGTACTGTTCATTCTCACTATTTGTCTAACGCAAATAAATAATTTGTTAGGACTGTGTGTGTGTGTGTGTCGGTGTGTCTTCTGGTTGTTTTTCGTCTGTGTTTTGATGTTTTTATGTTCGATTCACATTTCCATGTTTCGATTTCCGAAACAAAGCCAATAAGTTTAACTAACCTAATTTTCTCGACAGAAAAAAAAATTATAAAATAAAATAAAATAGATTCTCTAAAATGTCGATACTGTTCATACTTCATCGTTTCCTTACTTTTGTCTCTTACAACAATAAAAAAAAATCACTTCATTTGAAAAATTGAATGAATGAATTAAAAAAAAAAAGAGTTGAATTTTGTTCTACAATAATAATTTAAGTAGAACGTTTCTAAAAACAAATGTTGTCGGGCATTTTTTGTTGTCGAAATGCAAAATGGTATTGTGAATGATTTTCGGCACTGTTAATCGCGCGATATAAAATCCTACATGCATTTTTTAACTAGATGCTCCTATTTTATTGTATTTAATTAGAGTGCCGAAAATCCAAAGCCACAATCTTCGCAAAATTGCCAACAACTCCTACTCTCTTCTGTGTTTAAATGATTGTTTTCGTTTCATTGAAATGAGCAATGTTGCCGAGAGATTTCTTAGTTGTTGGTTAAAAATTGGTAGCAATAGAAAAAAAAACGGTGTTTTGCATGGTGTCTCATAAATTAATTGAATGAACAATATTTGTAATTGTTCAATTGATAATTTTGGCGATGATTGAAGATTCATTCTTAACATAAGATTTATTTCACATCATTTATCGAATATGAATTACGAACGAAAATAAAAAAAAATACTTCGAAATTGAGGAGGGAGGGGAATAAGTGTTTGCTAATTATGGTTTTTTTTTCTTCTTCTTTTTTCCATCTCGTTGCTTAATAACGAATGTCATTTCTATAAATTTAATGTGCTTAAACGGCATCGTTTGGGCTCTGGAATTCCGACAGGGCGTGAATTGGATTTTGAACTTTCTTCTGCGATCCTTTCCTTACTTTGGCTCGAACTTCTTCCGGTTTCTCGGGACGCACAAGTGGCTTCTTTTCCGGTGCTTTCATTTTCCATACAACGATCGGCGACTAAATGTGAACAAAAATGAAATCAATTAGTGAATTTGGTGATTAGGGGGAGAAAATAAATGGGAATTTTTTTTTTCTCCAAATCAAGGTCATGGTGAATTGAATATATTTTGATTTGTATTTTATTTTTTGATATTGTGTCATTTGTAGTCATGACATGAGAATTACGTAAGTAGGTTTGAGATGAAACGATGAACTCAAATGGGGTAAAAATGATGAAACATAAAATGATTAGCAGAATAGACAAATATTCTTTTGGTTGTTTTTTTTTCATGAAATCCATGGGACGATGTGATGATGTGTTTTTTCTTTTATGTTCGAGAACAGAAAAAAAAATCATGAGAAACAGATGTATGAATAATGATTGCCAATGCTGAAATTCGCTGATATGTTCAATTAGTTTTGATTTAAATCACGGTATTCATGCTTTGATGATCACAAGCCATGTTATATGTATCAAATGAATTCAGCCTAATCAAGACAAGGAAATAAATGATGCAATATCGAAATCAGGATGATTGGTTTTTTTTGCGTTTAAAAAGCTCGCTTTATATAAACAACGAAAGAAGAAAAATCGAAAAAAAGGAAATTTCGATAGCAAACCAAATGCAAAAAAATTCCAGGTGCATTCATTTGTGATGACAAAAAAAGAACCCAAATATAAGTTCAGAATGCAAATAATGATGAAGAAATTGAGAAAGAAAAACAAATAAACTAAAATCGAGTGAATGAATGCCAAAATCGAAGCATGTGTCAACGGATAAGCATGTGTCAACGGAACAAACAGAACACCGTGGCTTAAACACTTCACTTGCGACTTTCTCAGTTTTTTTTTCTTCGGAAATTTTGCCTTCAAAAATGAGATGAAGTGATAGAATTTTTTTTGTTTTGTTTGGTTCGATTATGATAACTTACGAGAATTCGTCTAGTTTGTTAGATATTGATTCGATATTTTTTTGAATTATTTTTTTTTGTTTGGTTATGATTACTTATATGTTTTTTTTGTCTTTCTCCTTGAATTTCATGTTTCTATATGTGTTTGTTACTCGAAGGGAATTTTGTATAATGCGTAAATGTAGATATGATATATGTATTTGCTTTTGATTTTCAACGAAATTGACATTTTTTTTAATGTAATTGACAAAATTGACTCGATCGATTGATATTATGATTATTTGCTTTTGATTTGTTTGGTTTGTTTGTTTTTTTTTTTGGTTCATTTCAGTGTTCATTGTATTCAACGTTCAGTTTCGAGCAAAACGCTTCATTGAGATTTTCTCGGGCGAGACTTTTTGTAATGGATCTTTTTTGGCTGTGGAGTATAGTCAAATAAACACACAATCAATTATGTCATTAATTGCATTTTAGATTTTGTAAATAAATCAATTGTGTTTTATTTTTTGTTTAATTTAAATGGTTTTTTTTTTCAACTTTTGTCTTGTCTGTTTGAAATGCTTGCATTTTATATACAGTAATTCAAGGGAAAAATAGTTACAAATTTGTGTCTACTTGAAAATCAAAACAAAAGAAACAGAAATTTGTGTGCAAAAATTAGTTTGTAAATAAATGCAACGATGAAACAGAAAAAGAGTGATGTTTTTCCATCAACATTGGATACGTTGTCTGTTTGTTTTTTTGGACAGAAAGAAAAACAAGAATTTTGAAAATAGCGCTTACTAATGGGAACAGAGGCTGAAAATCTCATGTGTCACTAAAAACAATGTATATAAATCCATTCCGCCATTTCAAAGTGAAGCCAAGTGAACACTGAATTCAACTGGTTAAATGAATGAGAGCTAGCAAACGCAAAAATGATGAACCGAAATTGTGAATGAAACGAAAGGAAAAAAAAACACAAATCAACCGAAATGATATGAAATTGTGAAAATGAAACAAAAAAAAATTGGTTTTTCTTTCAATTACAAATCCATAGATGGTCAACTCACAACGATCTCTCTCGGTTTTATTTGAGATTTTTTTCTTTTTTGGTTCAATACAATTTTGGTATTTTTCGTCGTTGTATTGATTATATTGGGCAGTTAAATATCATCATCGTATTCAATTATCATTTGACAAATAAAGGTTGGCTTCGTTGCTTGGTTTATTTTAAAAAAAAGTTCTCTCTCCTGTCTCAAATGTTCCGTAAATTTTAATGACATTTTCTTCGATCCGGAATGAGTTCGATTCACTTGGCATCGAAATGAGCATCGACAGTGAGCAAAACCGTGTGGTCAAATGGTTCGTAAATATGATTCGGATCAAATTCTTGTGTGATGGTAATGGAAGAGCTTGTGGATGTTGCCGTCGGAGCTGCACGCGAACATTCACGTTGTTGATGTGGTCGTTGATGCTTCAAATTGTCAAGGATTAAGGAAATCAGAAAATCAGTGATTAATTTGCAAAATGTTTTTTCTCGTTCTCTTTGGTGGTGGTGGTGGTCTTTATCATCGCGTGTTTAAATATACAGGCGGATGTAATTTCGAAACTAAGTGAAACAGCTTTGGAAAGTGCGTTGAATTTTATATCATTACTTGGTTTAAGCACATTATCGAATCGATTACGTTTACGATTATTATTTTTTTTTTTCGGTTGGGATAGAGGCTGGAAACAACGAAAAAAGACAAAATATTTACAACAAAGATACCGTGAAGTGTACGAAAACGGCTTTAGTTAGATTGCTCTGCGGCCAAGTGAGGTCTACGTGTGACATCAATCAATTGGTAGTTTTTTATTGATTTTATTGTTCAAGTATATTACTGGTGGTGGATGAGCTTGAATTTTAATTAATTTTTAGCAACGGTGTGACCAACAACAACGTTAGGCTTTTCCAAAACGAATTTTATTTGCAAAATAGGCAATGTGCGTGAGTGTGTGTGTGTGTGTGTGAATGTTATTTTAAAATGCGTACAATATTGCTCGATTCCATGCGAAACGAAGAATGGGCCAAATGGGGATAATATAATTAATTTGGTGCTCTCTTGGTGACCTTGTTACTCTACTTGATGTTTGACACATTTTTCATTCAATTCCTGCTGATTATGGTGAAGATGGAAAACGGGAGCGATACATACATACATATGCTGCCTACTGGCAGATTCAAACAACTGGTATACTTGATATTTCGAGTGCTTGTTACATTCAATTGGTACACAATGGTGGGCGATTTTCAGAGAGATACGGTGAAATTTGCGTCGACAACAACAACAACAACAACAACAGATATCCGCTCGAAATTAATCAAAAATACCGACAAATGAAAATGAATGAACCAACACACGTATATGAAATGTTCAGTAAATAAATTCTATGAAAATCAATATCATGCTCATGCGATACAATTTAAAATGAATGTGAAAACAAAAACGACTGGGCCCAATATCTGGTGTGAGACCACGATAATCTATTTCGCAGTTTTTACGTGTTAAAATAAACGGTCGCCGTACAAAATAGACAATAAACTTTCGGCACAACAATGAACGAATACAAACGACTTTAGTACAAATCCATTCGAAACGGTTTCTGACAGATAAATATGCTGTGAGTATGTGTGTATGTGTGTGTGTGTGTGTGTGTGTGAGAGAATGTGAATAATATAAATGTAAGTGGCGCATTGAAACAAATGCAATGGCCAAAATGAACAAAACAAAAAATACACAATATTAAATTCGAGAGAATTGATTATCTCTCGAAATGAAATCGAATGGAAAAATTATGCAGATTATCAGTCAAAAACATGAAGAGTGTGAGTTAAATTCAGACGTTCGCATTTGCATTGCTTAGGAAGCAGCATGTTTTAAGGCA